ACCCTAGCAACCACATAGCAACACCCTAGCAACCACCCCGGGTACCTTAGCAACCGCATAGCAACACCATAGAAACCACATAGAAACACCATAGAATCTATTAATCTACATCTAAAATTTCTAATTTAATATTTCCTATCTATCTATCTATCTATCTATCTATCTATTTTTCTGATAAATTGCATTGTCTTCAAAACCTTAAAACTTTAAAAGTATTTTAAACTTCAAACTAGTTAAAACTGAAAACCTTCAAACTTAAAGCTTTTAAAACGACTTCAAACTTTCTAGCTAGGCTTTTTGAAGCCAACTTAAAGTTTGTCTACTTAAATTTGAGAAAGAAAATTACCAAAAGGAATTGCAAAAATGATGGTTAAAATAATAATGGATGAAATGGACTGCTGAATTACTAGCAGAAAGCAGAAAGTCAGTCCCACTTTAATCTAGAGATATAGATATATATATATTTAATGCTAAGCATGCCAGAGATTCATCAGGAAAAGGATTCTGCATATAGTGTACTGTTATTGCTATGTTTTATTATTATTATGTCTTTCTCTCTTTCTTATTCATTTAATGCTTTTGTCCAGAAAAGTAGCTGTGGTCAAAACTACCGCAGATATCACTGGTCAACATGTGTAGCGGATGTTTGCAAATAAATCCCCAAAACTGTGTGTTAACATTCAGAAAGCATAGAAATGTTGGTTATGAAGTCAGGAGCATTCACATCTGCATCTTTGCTGTAAAAACAGCTCGCAGAGGAGCGTGCTTCTCTTTATGCTTTCTACTTCCTCACAGAGCTTTAAGTCTTCATTATTAATGAATATGTTGCAAGCTTTGGCTATTTGTTAACGAGCTGTTTGTTCAGTTCTGAAGACTGGTGTAAAATGAGATTGTGTTTATTTGTTCGAGCTTCTGTCTGAGAGACACAACGTCTCTGTTGAACCGCTGCAAATAAACAGTCTTGAATCAGATTTTAGTCAGCTGTGGCAGAATCTGGTCTGATTTGTGTTCGTCCTGCTCGTGTGAGAGAATGTTCTCCACAAACGGCCTTATAAACCTGTGCAAATCTCGTGTTTCATCTCATCACGATAATACATTTAATTCTATATAGTTCAGATTAAATCTGGTGAGATTATGTCTATTATTTAAATGTAAATAACGCTGATAATGAGGCTATATGAGTAATGCACAGTTAGGATCAGATGTTTGCTGCACAGTAAGAGCAGCTGCAGGGTTTCTCTGACTGAGCTGCTGCTGCTTCAGAGGACTTTAATTCTGCTCTGCGGCGTGACGTCATAAGCCTGCGCGCGCGCTCCCGCGTCTGATGTGATTCGGCTCAAGAGAGGTCTGTGTGTTTAAGTATTTAAACTGTTTTAACTGATAGAACCCGTTCAGTCAAATATATAGTGTTTAAGCGACGCAAGATTAATGATCTGCTATTGAATGTAACATTGTAATGCTTTATCTAACATTAATAAGCGTTATTTAGTGTGAGTAAACGCGTCCGCACACGAGTAACAGAAGCGGTGCGTCTGAATCAGTTCATCAGAAACACTATACGCTCACTTATAAGTTTTATTTGTATTTTTTTATTGAAAAAATCGATTTATTACAATGAAAGATAGCTTTTAGCAACGATCAAGAACCTGTTACGAGGGATTTAGAATAATAACAAGGTAAAGAAAGCAAGTATCAAGATAAAACAACATAAAATAAGAGTAAAATACAATAATAATTATCAAAAACTAAGGAGCTGATGGAGAGATGTAGTTTTGAGGGTTTATTGTGCTCTCTGTTCACTGTTCTCTTCATCTTAAAGAGAAACGGAGCTTTTTGAGACTCGATTGAATCGGTTGCTTCTCTAATGATTCAGTGACTCGATTGAATCGGTTGCTTCTCTAATGATTCAGTGACTCGATTGAATCGGTTGCTTCTCTAATGATTCAGTAGTGAGCTGAACTAGGGAGCTGATGGAGAGATGTAGTTTAGAGGGTTTATTGTGCTCTCTGTTCACTGTTCTCTTCATCTTAAACAGAGAAACTCCCGCTGAAGCGACTGAGAGCCTCGTGACACACTTATAAAGATGGCGTTTATTAAAGAGGAGACTGAAGACTTCAGGATTGAAGAAGTGTTCAGTCTGAAACAAGAAGACACTGAGGAACAAACAGGTTGGTTTCGTTCTCAAAGCTCAGCTCGCTCGTTTGAAAATGTCCAGCTCTGCAGAAATGAATGGTGTTTGTGAAGTGTCCTCATTAAAGTGGTTTTATTTGACACGGAGCCTCGGGTGGACAGATGTTGAGATCACGTGACCAGACTAATACTAAGTGCACCTGAGGAAGAGCCCACTTCAGTGCTGGACGTCTGTTATTGTGACGTCACCCAGTAAATCAGGAGAACTAACAGAAGGAGCCTAAACAAAACCAGTAGTTTGAGTAACGTTAAACCATATATCTGCTTAACTGAAGAACAAAAACCATTCATTTCTATTCAGGATGCACTGATACCAGAGACTGTACGTGTCACTTGTATAGTTTTGAATGGGGACAAATACAGCGCTCTAAACAGCATTCTATCGAAGGAAGCCACGCCTCCGGAAGAAAAGAGCCAATCGCTATTCAGTAAAGTCAGCGCATCACTGCAGCTGCTGCTAGAACCCCGGTTGCTATAGAAACAGTCAGCACTCTTGAGACGTGCGCTTAGGACCGCGCATGCACTCTAGCCTGAAAAATACGCTTTTTAACGCTAATGAGCGAAAAAATAAATGTTTATTAGATATTTGTTGTCAGAATTCATTGGTGGTTTCAAATATGAAATGTAATTGTAAGCTTGGTGATACTGCGCTCTTGCTCTACTCGTAATCCTATATCGGTCGGATATGTCAAAAACAAGTAAAACAATGCACAGGCTACTAAAGACAGGCTATTTGACGGTAAGGAGAGCGAGAGCGCGCGCGGCCTTCTGCTGCATGATCGCTCACTCAGCACACGCATCATGTGGATTGAAACTAAATCGTAAATATAAAACAAACAAAAATTATAGGAGCATTCGCCGCAAACGTTTATTTTAAACGTTAAGCATACGCAACTTATTTAAAGTGAAACTAGCAGCCTGTGTGAAATGCGCTAGGCTATACGCGTATCTCTCATTCTGCACCAATACAGATGTGTACGAGCGGTGCATGTTTTGCTTGTTGACGTAAATAAATAACAAACAGTTAATTCTGCCGAAATACATAATACACGGAACGGTTTTAATGCTATATTATTGATTATGTTGCTAAGGGTGTTGCTCAGTGATACACAGAACGTTGGGTGAAGCGGTCATAAAACATTCATACTCTAACATTCATAGTGTGTTTATAGAATATTAAAGACACATCCTGGCATCGTGAGACATTTAGATGCAATAAATGAAATATACTTTGTAATGTTTCACTTGATTATACATTTAGTCAGGAATTATAGTTTATAAAAAGTCTAACTAGTAAAATGTGTACAAGTTATGTCACAGTAACACAATAACAACTAATGTAAGTAAGCTAATAATAAAAAGACTTGTGTAAACGATATCCTCTGCTGGATCAAGCCACCGCCTTCTTCTTCTGAGGTAAATTCTGGCTTATTCCTCTCAGCGCGTCTTCTTCTGAGGTAAATTCTGGCTTATTCCTCTCAGCGCGTCGTCTTCTGAGGTAAATTCTGGCTTATTCCTCTCAGCGCGTCTTCTTCTGAGGCAAATTCTGGCTTTTTACATTAAAACTGTAATGTGAGTTTTTTCATAAGATGTTTTCATTTTAAGCAATGTGTGCTTTTTTGATTTCAGTTGTTCTAAATATTCAATAAATAACCATAAATAGTTTGTTAAAATCACAAAGATAAGACATGCACTCTTTCATTAGAAAAATAAAATCCCACCTTGTCAGTCAACAACAACAAAATGAAGTGAATAATAAAAATGATCGTTCAATAATTGTAATCGAGGTAAAATGTTAAATTAATCGAGAGTTTGATTTTAGGTCAAATTGTCCAGCCCTATTAATTCCCTACAGTTGCTTACACAGCAACTTTGTTAAAGCTCAAACCACCAGTTGGTCAGAAATGTAGAATCCAACCTAATCTGACCCATGCTTTATCTAGCCTGAGATCTAGTGTGTACTTAACCCTGGGCGCAGATTTGCCATAACATTAGCCTTCACTTATTCTACTTGAGAAAAGAAGTTCTTCTTGTTTGAAGAATTACGATTCTACAAGTGTCGTGATTTGAAATTACAATGTATTGCTATTTTTGTTTGCTTTTAACACTAAACCATGAGGCAAAGTAGAAGCATGCACAATGTATAAAATTAGTCATATTTACAAAAACAATCACATCTTTCTGATTTTAATTTTAAGTTCAACATAGAGTACAGTGACAAAATGCTCCTCTCTGTAGTTATTTTTCAAGCAAATTATCGCGTTTATGGACATTCAGTGACCTTCCTGAGGTAATGTTACATGAAATTGTTTACAAGCTGTGCGCCCGGACCCCCTAGAGGCATCAAGGTCCACCCACCACAGTCTTACAAAATCCTGTGGGAAACACTGATCAATCCTTTACTTAGACAAGTGAATTTATTGAAGGGTACCAGGAAAGCTAGGCAAATTAATTCATTTAGAATATACTCTCATTCATTATTAATTTTATGCCTAAAATGTTCGTTAATGTTTATCTTGTCACATTGACAGTTATAATCTAAATTACATGAACCACATTGTAAATGATATAGGGTATTTTATATGGCTAAATTAGACAAAAGTTTATTAGTTTGCATCCCTGATTATTTCGGTTTATTTCAGCTGTTAAATATTAAATGCTTAGTTTAGCTACTTAACAGCTTATCTTGCACTTTATAACCATTAACTGAAGCGTCGCACTGGAATTCACACTCCGCTGCCTCAGCAGTTTCTGTCAGCGTAGAAGTCTGTAGGGCTTTAAATTGAAGCCCGAACCTTGTTTTTTTTTTTTTTACAACGAATAGCCAAGCTTTTTTAAAAATATGCTGTATTTCATGATTGTATTCAAAGGTCAGTAAACAAACACATGCAAAGAAACAGATTCATGAAGGCTCACGGCCAGTTCAGCACACAAGACAAAAGTAAAAAACGCCAGTTATGAAAATTTATGAACAACAGGTGCAACGGTCACATGAATTCCGCCAAGTTTTTTAATGGTTGTAATGAAAAGATGACATTTCTTCCACCGTGCAGTTTCCCTAGTAAACCGTAAGAAGTTTTCCTAATTGCTGTATCTCAGTCATTAGGGCCTTAGTTCCAGAACTAAATGTACAGTACTAAAGTACTGCGCGATTTCTGATATCTGTGTTCAGTTATGTGTGTATGCGTGCATCTATGAAAGCATTGTAGCCTACTGCATACAGTTTTAGTTTAGCTACAAGCCAGACCCAAACCCAAGAATATTTCAAGACCTGTTGGACTCAGATCGGGTAGCAGACCTCCAGGTCGGCGGCAGTTTGCCCAATTTAGCATACTGAATTGGCGTCAGGGCCGTCGGCGAGAGTGAGAACTCTTGATTGGAAGTTCAGTTTAGCGAACGAATCAGTGCCCGAGAATTCAAGTGAAAGTGATGAAAACAAGTAAACGAAGGCGGCGCAGACCGGGGGCTGTTCTAATGTTACGTGATCTTACCCAAGTATGCGAATATATTCATAACAACATGAGCGGCTAAAAATGAGTAAAGTTATCAACATAACTGATATTCAAAATTGTAAGCAAGCGCTGCTTTGTTTACGTTTCATATATCTTGTATATCCTTATTTCGGTTTCTCCTTTTTGAATGAATATTCAAAATTGTAAGCAAGCGCTGCTTTGTTTACGTTTCATATTTCTTGTATATTCTTGTTTCGGTTTCTCCTTTTGAATGACAAATACATACTATTGATAGCTGCTGATATAGACAGCTAATTGTTCTCACACAGAATGCACGTGCTAGTTTGCAGTTGGCTGTGGTCTGTATGGTTTGTTCAATCGCAGATTTTTGGTCCAGATGCTGCCGACGCAAGGAGACAACACCGTCGGCTTTTGTGGCCGCTAGTTGTTTTAAGTCGGCTTGGTGTGTCCCGGCCTTAAATGCTTTTATGTTGCTTTTTACATCTTTTGCTTTGTGGCTTTAAACTGTGGTTAACTTGTATTTATCTTTTTTTGCTTTAGACCAGCTGGTGCTGAAAGAGGAGAATCAAGATCCGAATGAAATGGAACAGACAGATCAGAATGAGAAACACCATGATTTCATAACTGGTGAAAAAGCCACACAGTCTAAAACGGCTTCTATACGAAAAAGAGCTCAGAAAACCAAATCTAACAGCTCTTTCACCTGCCATCAGTGTGGAAAGAGCTTTGCTCAACAAAACTTCAAAAGGCACATGAGAATTCACACTGGAGAGAAGCCTTACACCTGCCAACAGTGTGGAAGGAGTTTCACTCAAAAAGCAGCCCTTCAAAATCACATGAGAACTCACTCGGGAGAGAAGCCATTCACCTGCCAACAGTGTGGAAAGAGTTTCACTCTAAAAGCAGCCCTTCAAAATCACATGAGAACTCACTCGGGAGAGAAGCCATTCACCTGCCAACAGTGTGGAAAGAGCTTTGCTCATCAAGTAACCTTTAAAAGGCACATGAGAACTCACTCGGGAGAGAAGCCATTCACCTGCCAACAGTGTGGAAAGAGCTTTGCTCAACAAGTAACCTTTAAAAATCACATGAGAGCTCACTCGGGAGAGAAGCCATGCACCTGCCAACAGTGTGGAAAGAGTTTCCCTTCAAAACAAAACCTTAAAGTCCACATGAGAGTTCACACTGGAGAGAAGCCTTACACCTGCCAACAGTGTGGAAAGAGTTTCCCTTCAAAACAAAACCTTAAAGTCCACATGAGAGTTCACACTGGAGAGAAGCCTTACACCTGCCAACAGTGTGGAAAGAGTTTCCCTTCAAAACAAAACCTTAAAGTCCACATGAGAGTTCACACTGGAGAGAAGCCTTACACCTGCCAACAGTGTGGAAAGAGTTTCCCTTCAAAACAAAACCTTAAAGTCCACATGAGAGTTCACACTGGAGAGAAGCCTTACTCTTGCAAGTATTGTGGGAAGAGTTTCGCAAATGCGTACTCCTGTAACTACCACATGAGAATTCACACTGTTCATTCAACATTCAACAGTAAGTAAAGAAATACATGCAAAGAAACAGATTCATGAAGGCTCACGGCCAGTTCAGCACACAAGACAAAAGTAAAAAACACCAGTTATGAAAGTTTATGAACAACAGGTGCAACGGTCACATAAATTCCGCCAAGTTTTTTAATGGTTGTAATGAAAATTTGACAATTCTTCCACCGTGCAGTTTCGCTAGTAAACTGTAAGTAGTTTTCCTAATTGCTTTATCTCAGTAATTGCTCACTACCAGTTTGTGTGCGCATGCTATTTGCCATGTTGTGACAGATCGCTAGATCAGTTACAAGAGCAAAACAAGTTTCATACCTGCGTGTCTTGAACTGGGCCCTTCACCGGTTACCGTTCAACGAATCCCCGAGATTGGTTTGCAGCGATCGACCCGAAGGACGCGTACTTTAATGTGTCGATCCTTCCGCACCACATACTATTGCTGCGGTTCGCGTTCGAAGGACGACTATATCAGTACGAGGTCCTACCCTCCGGGCTGTCGCTCCTGTTTTTTCACGTAAGTTACGGAGGCAGCCCTTGTTCCCCTGAGAGAAGGGGAACAGGGCGTTCGCATTCTCAACTACCTCGACGTCTGGCTCATACTAGCTCAGTCTCAGGATCAGTTGTGTGCACACAGGGACTTGGTGCTTTCGCACCTCAGCCGGTTGGGCCTTTGGGTCAACTGGGAAAAGAGCAAACTCTCCTTGGCGCAGAGTATCTCTTCTCGGTATGGAGTTGGATTCGGTCGAGTACGCCTCTTGCAAGGACGTGCTCAGTCGGTGTTGAACTGCCTGAATGTGTTCAAGTGCAGGATGGTCCCCTGGAACAGGTTTCCAGGCAAGGCGTGGTTTACACAGATGCCTCCACCACCGGCTGGGGGGCCACGTTCGACGGGCTTGCAGTGTCGGGGGTTTGGACGGGCCCCTAACTGCACTGGCACACCAATTGCCTAGAGCTGCTGGCAGTATGCCTGGCCTTGAGCCGTCTCAAGAGGCGATTACGAGGCAAGCGCGTGCTGTCCGCGCGGACAACAATGCGACCATTGCGTACATCAACCGACAAGGTGGTCTATGCTCCCGTCGCATTGCCAGTTGTTCTACTCTCTGGCTGAGGGAACACTCAGCACGGACGCACTGGCACACAGCTGGCCGCAGGGCCTTCGCAAGTATGTTTCCCCCAGTGAGCCTTCTTGCACAGACACTGCAAGATCAGGGAGAACGAGGAGCAGGTCCCGCTCGTGTCGCCTTACTGGCCCACTCGGACTTTGTTCCCGGAACTGATGCTCCTTGTGACAGCCCCTCGGCAGATTCCTCCGAGGAAGGATCGACTGACTACTGATCTACTGAGACAGGGCACCCTGTGGCACCCGCTTCCAGACCTCTGGAAACTTCATGTCTGGTCCCTGGACGGGACGCAGAGGTTTTAGGTGACTTACCCCAAGAGGTAGTTGACACCATCACTTCGGCAAGAGCACCGTCTACGAGACACGCTTACGCCTTGAAGTGGAACCTGTTCGTCGAATGGTGCTCTTCTCACCGAGAAGACCCCCGGAAATGTCCGATCAGAGTCGTGCTGTCCTTTCTGCAGCAGGGGTTGGAGCGAAGGCTGTCTGCCTCCACCCTTGAAGTCTATGTGGCTACGATTGCTGCCAACCACGACCCCCTCTATACCCTCTTAGGACTTGTCTCTAGTGCTCAGAGCACTACAGCAGGGCCCATTTGAGCCTTTGCAGACAGTCAAGCTGAAGTTTCTATCAATAAAAACTCTGCTCCTGCTTGTATTGAACTCTATCAAGAGGTTAGGGGACCTGCATGCATTTTCAGTCGACGATTCGTGCCTAGAGTTTGGGCCGGCTGACTCCCAGGTAATCCTGAGGCCCCGGCCCGGCTATGTGCCCAAGTTTCCCACTACTCCCTTCAAGGATCAGGTGGTGAGCCTACAAGCGCTGCCCCCGGAGGAGGTAGACCCAGCCCTAGCTTTGCTTTGTCCTGTCCGAGCATTGAGATACTTACGTAGACAGGACGCAAAGCTTCAGGACCTCAGACCAGCATTCAGGTAGCAAACTCACTCTACTAGAAGTGTTACATCCTCCTGGGCGTTGGCTCGTGGCGCCTTGCTGGCAGATATTTGTAGAATTGCGGACTGGGCGACCCCATCAACACCTGTAATCTTCCATATGCTCCTAGACGGTTGTTCATATGTGTAAGTGCTTCCGAAACCTCCTTCGGGAAGGATGGGCTTCCGCAACATTCCGGTTCCAAGTGGAATGGGCACTTTTTCCCAGTGTTATCCAGTCTTACTGAGTGGGTTGTGCCATAGCAGCAGTAACTGGTCTTCTTGTGGTAAGCCCCAGCCTACGCCAAAGAATAAGGGGTGCAGGAGGCTTACACAGGACACTGGAAGGGGCACTTTGGAAGGGATCCCAATTTGTCGTTCATCCGACGTGACGTAGAGAGTGACCGAATGAAAGGGAACGTCTCGGTTACGTATGTAACCCTCATTCCCTGAAGGAGGGAACGGAGACATCACGTCCCGTTGCCACGGCTGCTGTTCCACCGCTGAGCGGCCAGGTCACCGGCTCGGCTCCTCAGTGAAAACCTGAATATGCGCTGCACCTGCTTCCTATTTATACTCACGCTGTGATCAGCGGCAGCTAGACGCAATAATCGCATGCCAATGTGCATTGGCTCGTATAGTTTACTCTCGAAGTGGATTGGTCTCTCTAAACGAGATCCCAATTTGTCGGTCATCCGACATGACGTCGCCGTTCCCTCCTTCAGGGAACGAGGGTTACATATGTAACCGAGACGTTTTAGTCATTGTACAAATAAGTACAAGCTAGAAAGGGAAGGAATAAATAAAGAGAAAGAAAGTTTTTTTCCACCAGCCAGGAATGGTATACAAGAATGTTCTGGAAAGTGATTTTGAGCCTCTCTGTGATGGCGTTGCTCACTAGTGGATCTCTGGAGGGAACTTCTGGAGGAGATTCGTA